AGTGTGCCATGGTGAAGGGGAGGGGGAGCCGGAATCCGGCCCACACTGTCCTTGCCCAGCCAAATGCCCAAGTGAGGGTCTGCATCTCCCCTGAGAAAGGAGCATCTATTTCCACCTCACACGAAGGTACCCCATGGAATAGTAGACTCTCTGAGTACAACAAAGTTCACTTTCTTATCTAACATTTTCCTAAGTGTTCACTCTATATCCTTTACTTCATTTTGATTATTTTATTTTTAATAGTTTTGGCAGAAATTGTGTCTCTATATTTTTTAAAACAGTTAATCTGAATCCCCACATAATGGAAAACTTTAGAGAATTGAAACCTAAGGTTTCCAAATACACAAAAGTATACTAAAAGATTTTTCCTTTTCTTTTCTTTTCTTTTCTGTTCTTTTCTTTCTTTCTTTCTTTTTTTTTTTTTTTTGTGAGACAGAGTTCTGCCATGTTGCCCAGGCTGGTCTGGAATTCCTGGGGGTCAAAGGGTCCACCCGCCTCAGCCTCCCAAAGTGTTGGATTATAGGTGTGAGCCACCATGCCTGACCTGTTTCCTTTTCATCTCAGAACTTCCTAAGGCTTTTTCGAAATCTGGTATATAGAGAAGATAAATGCTTATGCCTACACTGACCATGCATTAATGCACTGTATTTCTTTTCTTACATGAGGTATGCCATGTATAACAAAGATTTCCCTTACTGCCTAGGTTTCCTCAAAGAGTGAAACTTTGAGGACTATTACTTTTCACAAAACTTTTTAAATGTACTCCTGCCTTTGCAAGAGAAATGACTATCTGGTACAATTAACGTTGGACCATAGACCCAAAGAACAATGAATATTTCAAACACAAATTGCTTTTGAGAATCATAGTCCTATTCTGGGCTTGAAGACATTCATGTAGGAAATTAACAGAAAATTTTAATAAAGACTCTTTGGATAAAGAAAATTAGATGAAGAATGCCAGTTTGTCTTTTAAGTTGCTTGAGCAGATCTGTCATAACAGACATTGCCCCAGATTGTGGAACCCTTTCCTTCTTACATCTTTTAATGGTAGTAGAACTTACAATACCATAATTTCCTTTCATTTTTGACAGTGTTATACTATCTTTTTAGATTTACACTGACAGCATTTCATCTTGACATCATTAGATCATCTCACCTGACTTTTGCATGGTGCACATCATTACCTTGCGATGGTGCTATACAATTACCAGTGAAATGAATAGGGTATTAACATGATTACTGAAAAAACGTTAGCACATACAGATATAGCATTCTGCAATTGAAAGCATTTTATAGCTATTAATTAGTCTGCCCAACACTCCTGGGATCCAGTGAAACTTACTTTTTTTTTTTTTTTCCAGTAGGATAATGAAAGGGAGTGACTTAGACAATATTGCAGAACCAGGCAGTGGCTGAACTTTTCTTAACTTCCTTGATATTTTTAAGCCTAAGAAAGTTGGGTATGAAGATTTATAGTCACTCATCACTGTCTTGAAAGGGCAGTCATGTGAGAAAATTCCACAAGAATACCACTTTTTCTAGTTTCCATTTCATGATTATCATGGCAATTATTGATAATCAGTTCTTCTAGGTTTTGTGAAAGTTTTGGGAGACAAGTAATCTGGAATTATTTAAAGTCTCCATCTTAAATGGAATTGATTTGGTCTGAGAAAAATCACATAACTTTGAATCATTAATCAGGAAATGTTGTGATCAAAGGATGACACAGAAACAGCTTTAGAACTATAGAAATCTTGATCATTGAAAAGCATCTGTACTTTCTTCATATATTTTTCTAAAACATCTCACAAAGATAATGCCTTACCAATGACATCCTAGACTTGGGAGACTCAGTGTTGTCTTGGAGCAGAGGATGAACTGACTACCTTTTTCTAAATCATATAATTCACCCTGAGTTCCAATTTTAAGGTGATGAAATAAATTAATTGTATGAATTAGTTAAAATTTTGCAAACTTTTTGAGCTTCGGTTTGTTTTCCCATTCTCATTTGTATAAAGAGAATATGTATCATAAAGATTATCATGAGGGTAAAATGAGATAACAGATATAAAACACTCAGCTTAATGCTTGGGCACAGTAGACATTCAATAAAGCGGAGCAGTTCCTATAATTCAAGAGACTTTGACTGGTCTGGGAACTAGAGCAGAAACTTTGGTGGCTTGAAAGTGGTAGTTCTGGCTGGGTGTGGTGGTTCACGCCTGTAATCCCAGCACTTTGGGAGGCCGAGACGGGCGGATCACGAGGTCAGGAGGTCGAGACCATCCTGGCTAACATGGTGAAACCCCATCTCTACTAAAACTACAAAAATTAGCCGGGCGCGGTGGCGGGTGCCTGTAGTCCCAGCCACTGGGGAGGCTGAGGCAGGAAAATGGCGTGAACCCAGGAGGCGGAGCTTGCAGTGAGTGGAGATCACGCCACTGCATTCCAGGCTGGGCGACAGAGCGAGACTCCATCTCAAAAAAAAAAAAAAAAAAGGAAGTCGTAGTTCTTAGGGGACAGTTCTTCACTCTTGGCCCTTCTTCTGCTACATTTACACTGCCTGGAGAAGTCACAGGGATCATTATTTTCCCTCGATGTGTTCTGCCATGACTCAGCAGTAAAAGAGCAGTATCAGTGGATGGAGCTGGGAGATGGATCAGAACCAGCTTATCTGACTTTAACTAATATTGTTTTATCAAATTTTCCCCCACCCATCTGCAAAAGGAAGAAACCAAATGAGAGGAGTACAAATTTTCACTGTAATTGAATCAAATTATAACACCTGGAATTACACGTATGTCTATCTTGATTGGCCTATTGACAGCCATATATATTTTGTGGACAACTAGTATGTTTATGAAATGGGCTTTTGAGGTCAGGAATATTGCATCATTTATATTTTAGGCACAATTTTCAGTCTTTCCTTAGACCTTGGAATTCACTCTTTTCACTCCCAGCCTGACTACCACTCAGGTCATCTCATCCCCCCTATTGCAATAGCCTCCAACTGGTCTTTCCACCTTCAAGCTCTCCAAGCTCCCCTCCAGTCACCTATCACAATGATAGCTACTCCCTATGAGGTCAAGTCTGAACTTCACATCGTGGCACAAAAGGCTTCCAGAATCTGCTCCAACCCTAACAATCTAGTATATCTCCATCTTTTTTAGCTTCCAAATCAATCTCATTTCTTCAGCCAAGCTGATTTTCTCCCTGTTGCCTGATCATATCGAACACTTTTCCAGGTCTACCTCATTGACTATTCATTCTCTTACCTATCTCTGAGTTCAGTGTCAAAAGCGGAAGTCATTCTAAATGTTTTAGGCAAGGAATTGAATGCCAGTGAGTGGGTGCTTACAAAGTGTCAGAAGAGCTGGAGGAAGGTTCTAAGCTAGGCCTCTAGGGACAACTCCTAGAGCACCAGGAAGGGTGCTACCAGAAAGACTGAATTCAGAACCCACTGCTATAGCAACAACCCCAGGATCAGAAGCTGCTGCCATTACTGCTGCTATAATTGCCTCTCAACCAAAGGAGCTGGAGAAAAACAAAAAACAAACAAACAACAACAAAACGCTAGAATGTGATTGGGGAGAAAACACAAAAATTTATATTTCCATACCCTGTCACTGTCAGTAAAAGCAAAAAGGTGTATGAAAATGGCCTCTCACTTCTATTTTCTACATTAGATACAAGGCCATTTGCTACATTGGATACAAGGCATTGCAAAATCCTAGTTGCAAAGAAGGCTTGGTGTACATGAAAGCAACTAGAGGTGAGGTGGATGAACTTTGAGAGAGCCTTCTTCCTTCTCCTCTGCTACCAAAATCTTGTATATCCATTTCAAGGATCAGTTCAAATACTGTATCCTCCAGGAAACAGCAAGCAATGTCAATGGCAGATCTTTACGCTTCCTAATCACCCTTAACCCACATTGCAGAGATGGTCAATACGCAGTTCACTTAGCCATACCTTGCCTTCCTACACCTCTAATGGTCATCCCCCTTGAATTGCAAGATTAAAGCACAAGATTTACTCAGCCTGGAATTGGCCTCAGAATTGTTCTTACCACAGTACTCAAGTCAGCCTTAATCAACTGATGGGAGATAATGCTTCAGATATACCCTGTTTGCAAGCCCTGAAGTCTATTCTTCAGGCATCTAGACAGCTTTTGATTAAATATATTAGATTGCAATTCTGACTTGATCGTTCCCTAACCTCAGAGTATGATGGTCTGAAATAAGGATACTGGTGGATGTGTGTGTTGGGGGTGTGGAGAAGTAAGTAGTCCTGAATCATAGATTTTAGATCTGGAAACGGCTTCAAGAAATACCTTGGTACAGTTCTTTGTCTGTAGGCAGGAAAGCTTTTATATCCGAGTTTAAAAATGAATAAACTGAGGGCCAGAGAAATTAAGTAACTTTCTAAGTTTACACAGGTATGTTTTTTTATCTGATAACAGCATATTACACTTCAAGATGGAATTACAAATGAATCTACTTCTCTCATCTTTTGTGCTTCTTTATTATTGATAATTCATCACAGTCTATAAAATATAAATTTAGTAACTGAGTTTTTCTCCTTTTCATAATCTTCATTTCTACCAGGAAATAATCACAAATGGCAACAAAACAAAACAAAAAAATACCTAGCATAAGAGTACAGGTTGTGGAGTACTGTTTATTACCATGTTCAACCTTGAGAAAAATTGCAAAATGGGTGAAATTTATCTAAATTGACTTCTATCTTTAAATATGTCTTTTTTCCTTCCTGTAGGTTCCTAAGACTTTTATGGATATTTAAGGTTTCCCACAGGCTCTTTCTCCCTGGAGAATTGTCCTATACACTAGAGCTTTTTCATTTATGTATCTTGCATTCATAAGGGCACTCATCACCTTTATGAGCTATTAACCTAAAACTGACGAAGTGACAAGTTTTGTGTACCTTGCCTTGCCATAATCTATATCTTACTGACTTCTCCTGATAACAAATTGCCACAAACTTAGTGCCATAAAATAACACAATTTATTATCTTACAGTTCTGTGGGTCACAAGTCTGGTATGGGCCTCACCAGCCCAAAATCAAGGTGCTGGCAGGCTGTGTTCCTTCTGGAGGCTCTAAGGGAGAATTATTTCCTGTTTGTGGGGTTGTTGATAGAATTTGGTTCCTTGCAGTTGTAGAGCTGAGATCCTGGTTTTCTTGCTGGCTGTCTGACTGCTGATCCCAGGTTCTACAGGCCGCTGTGTTCCCTAGCTCATGGTTCCCTTCCTCCACCTTTAAAGTCTGCAACGGTGAATGGATACCTTCTCACATCACAGTTCTCTGAGCTACTCTTCTGCTTTTAAGGGTCATATGATGAGATTAATCCCACTCAAATAATTCAGGATAATCATCTCACCTCCAGGTTGTAACCTTCCTTAATCACCTCTGCACAGTCCCTTTTGTCATATTCGGTAACTTATTTACAGAACTAGAACATTGACACCTTTGGGAGGCCGTATTCTGCCTACCATATCTGGCTTCCATAGCATAATCCCATCTTGATCCAGTTTCCCTCTTTATTTCCTGCCTTCCTCCCTTCTTTCCTTTTATCCTTCTTAACACACTATTGAGCATCTACTATAACGATAAGTACTTACATACGTGTGATGAATGCAAAGATGATAACAGTGTGACCCCTTTGTCATCTTTGTTACTCAAGTTACTGTCTGGTAGCTCTTCTCTTACTCTTCTGATTGCTTCTTTTTTTGTGTAATATCTTTCTTCTACCCCAGGGCAGAATTTGGAACCTGTCACATGGAGCCTGTCAGTGTCCTATTCTGAATAACTCATTTAGTGCTGAGACTGCCTGCATATGAACCTATTTATGTACATATCTCAGACCCCACTTCTCTTTTTCAGACCTCTCCTGAATTCCAGTTATACATCTTCAGGTGGACATTTAAATTTACTCCATTATCACCTCCAACTCAGTTAGGATGGAACTTACCATGCTTCAGACTTCCTTCTTTCTTTAAGAAGCTCAAAAATTCTCCTAGTCACAAAGGTAGAAAACTTTTCAATCAATCTTAACTGCCCCTTTGTCTTATTTTTGTAACAGGGATGCTATCTGGGGGAGGGGGAAATTAAACTTATGTATTTTATCTTTGGTAATATCTAATTACTAGTTGTCCCACAGCTCTCACATCCAGAGTCAAGTCGGGTCAACTTCTATCATAGAGTTTTCTCCATAGTACAAGAAAGATTTACCTTCTGCCTCTAATGGGGAGGCTTTGGAAATCTGCCCCAGAGTAGAAGAGAGATAAGATGTGGCGGAGTTCAAGTTGAGACAAAAGTCAAAGGAAGATGCAATTGCTTCTGGGAGTATGAGGAAGAGAAAGAGCAAATCAGTAGCAGGAAGGCAAGTGGCCAGATTCTCCTTTGTACTAAAGTTCTGGAGTAGAAATTAGGAATGAGGGGGAAACCACAAACAGAGTGTTTTGCCCCTGAGTCAGAGCTGGCTTGAAGCTCACCAAACTTGCTTTTTCCTGAAAGACACCCAGACTACATTTCTTAGATTCCCTTGCAGTCAGTTGGCAGCCACATGACTAAGTTCCAGCCAATAGAATGTGGCACAACTGATGGACTCATTACTTTCATCTGGGTCATTAAAACCCTCTGTGTTTAATCCTCCTGAATCTTTCAAATCCAGTGGAAAACCCTCAGGTCCTCCGGCAAGGGTTCTTTACCTTTATGAATCATTATGGATCCTTGGAGCAGTCTGGTAGAGCCTATGAACTCTTTTTTAGAATAGTGTTTTTAAATGTGTGAAATAAAAGCCAAAAGATTACAATGAAAACAGATTATTTTGAAACACAGTTAACAAAGTATCTTAAAATGCAAATCTGTGATACAGTAATGTGTGTTCTTCTTTATTAATGCATTAAATTACAAGCTAGTGGCAGGTATAATAACTACCATGCTTCCAACATGCTGATGATATAAAGAGATAGCACTGATACCTGTAGTGTGAAAAAAAATCTGTGATTTATTTCAATGACAAAGTTGCAGGCTTAGCAGACATCTTTCAGTTAACAAAGGGCACAGGACTTGCCCAGCCACCTTTGCAGCTTAGACTAGTATGTGAATCTGAGACCCTATCTCCTTTATTGCCCTTAGATCACATAAATCCTCCCCAGCCTTGCCCCATATTCCCAGATGTTATCCTGGGGTGCAGCAGGATGAAGGGGGAAAATCTCAAAGTTTGAGCCATAAACCTGAAATAGACCAAATTACTTAAAACGGGAACTATTTAAAGCTGAAGAGAATGAAATCATGTCACTAGACAAATTTAACCTTTCTCACCCTTCAGGGGGGTTGGGTGGAACTTACAGTGAAATTTTGATCAGTAGGAGACACTGAAGGAGTCAGATATGATGTAGGGAAAACTTCTGCCACTTAAAAAATTGAGAGAAAGCCTGGCTTTTCTGCCCCCCACCTTCCACATGGGAAAAGTAGAGAAAAGAAGGAAAGTGATGTAGAGGAAGAAGCAAAGTAGGAGAGGCATAGGTCATAGCTTCCAACTCTGGGCTGAAATTTGCAGATATAGGGATGTGGGCTGGGTTGAGAAGAAAGAGGCTTTTGCTGTGATTCTAATTGGAATGCAGAGGTCTCCATGCAAAGTAGCCTCTTTTGAACCTGGAGGGTCCAGAAAGGTAGAGATGTTGGTATGAATGGTTAAGGAGAGGGCTATTGTTACTCTTCCTCAGTTCCCATGTGATGTGCAGGTACTCAGAAATTTCTGCATGCTTTATGGGACAATGTGAAGGATAGCTGATTGGGGAGCTGGTAGTCTTGTTGTTGGGACTGTTGTAGGGAGGGGTTAGTTGACCATACTCATATGAACCTACTCACAGAATTCATTTTTTTTTCAGGGGCAGGAAAAAACTAATAGACACTCAATAGAGGATTACAGAGATGGCTATAGTCATGATGGAACAGAGTCAACAAGAGAAGACCACTGCGTGTGAATCAATAAAGAGAATAACCTGCAAGTTCCCCAGGCATCCCTCAGCACACCTGAGTGCAAAAGGATCAGGGACCTGCCCAGCCACACCTCAGCAGAGAGCAGCTAGGACTTGGATAATTATTCACAGCTACAACTCCATCATTGCCATGATATCACATGAACCTCTCTGACAATGAGAGGCCACCATGGAGAGGAGTAGTGGAAGAGAGAAAGAATCTGAAGGAAGCAGTTTTCAAAAGAGATAGAGTTATTGCAAAGTGATTTCATAACAGGAAGACTAAGACACTTAAACGTTTAAGCTTTCTTGACCCCAGATTCATACTTAGGGTAATGGGGTCTCATGAGGAAGATGATTGGTTATAAAAATAAAGAAACAGGATTTTTTCCCTTATATGCATAATTTGTACATTTGAAGCCCTTTTACATTTCTCCTTTGGTGGTAAGAGAGCTTGCAGAAATGGCCCAAATTCTCCATTGCTCTCTGTATGGACTTTGTATCATAAAGTTACAGCTCCTCCCATCAAAAAGTGGAGTTGGCCAGGCACGATGGCTCACACCTGTAATCCCAGCACTTTGGGAGGCCGAGGCAGGCAGATCACGAAGTCAGGAGATGGAGACCATCCTGGCTAACATGGTGAAACCCCGTCTCTACTGAAAATACAAAAAATTAGCCAGGCATGGTGGGGGGGCGGGGCGCCTATACTCCCAGCTGCTGGGGAGGCTGAGGCAGGAGAATGGTGTGAACCCGGCAGGCGGAGCTTGCAGTGAGCCGAGATCGTGCCACTGCACTACAGTCTGGGTGACACAGCGAGAATCCGTCTCAAAAAAAAAGAAGAGTCTACTTTTTGAATCCAGACAGGACTTGTGACTTTCTTTGGCCAAAAGAATACAGCAGAAATCGTGATGCATCGGTTTGAAGCCCATGCTTCAGGAGGTCTTTCATTGCTCTCCTGGACTTCTACTGTCAGCATGAGAGCCAGCTCTGGCCAGCCTGCTGCAGAAGAGAGACCTTATGAGGACTCAAGTCATCTCAAATGAGGTCATCCTAGACCAGCCAGCCTCTAGCTGACCTAACAGATGGCTCATGAGTGAGCCCAGCTTAGATCAGCCAAGCCTGTCTCAGATGAAAAGAATCTTCCAGCCAATTCACAGATTCATTAAGCCACTAAATTTTCATTTAAGCCACTACATTTTGGGGTGGTTTGTTATGCACCAAGAGCTAACTGATAAACCTACAGAAGTAATAATATGTCCTATTGCCTCTTCTCCTTCTGTCATTTATCACAATAACCACTTTATTTTCTTACCTTTCAGCCTTTTTCCTCTCCAAACCATCTTGCAGCCCTGAGCTAGACCAAGCCTTCTGCATGCTTCTTTCTTTTCCCTTACGCCCTGAGGGTCAAAATAACAATAGTACTTGACACCAAGTCACTCACAGATTTTATTTCCTGGAATACAGTTCCCTCCTTTTGCTATAACCCCCAGTATTTGATCTTCCTCAGTCACTGCAGTAGCTGCCACCCTAAAGCTCTCCTGGGAACACCTTCCCAACTGAGGCCCAGGATGCAGACTGCTGGTCTGGCATGCTTTCTGTACCACTCTACCCATCCTGTCCTGGAGGGGATTTTTATCTACCCTTATTTAGAGGGTCTTTTCAGTGGGGGCTATTTCTCAACCTTGGGTCATCCAGCCTTCTCATGGTTATAGTGCTCTAAGGTCTTCAAAAGGATGCTTGTATTTTTAATTTCTTAGCTCCAATGATCAAGTAAGTGAGAAGAAGTCCTTTCTTCATAACCTGAACAGGAATGAAATTCCTATACATGCTGCAACATGGATGAACCTTGAAAACACTATGCTAAGTGAAACAAGCCACACACAGAGACCACATATTGTATGATTTCACTTATATGAAATACTGCTATGGTTTGAATGTTTGTCCCCTCCAAAACTCATGTTGAAATCTAATCCCCAATAGGTGGTATTGAGAGGTGGAGTCTTTAAGAGGTGATTGGATCATGAGGACTCTGCCCTCATAAAGAGATTAGTCCATTCATGGATTAATGAATTAATGACTTATCATGGGAGTGAGACTGGTAGCTTTATAAGAGGAAGAGAGACCTGAGCTAGCACTGAGCTAGTACACTCAGTCCACTTACCATGTAACGTCCTACTCCACCTCAGGACTTAGCAGAGAGTCCCCACCAGCAAGAAGACCCTTACCGGATGTAGCCCCTCAACCTTGGATTTCTCAGCCTCCATAGCTGTAGAAATAAATTCCTTTTCTTCTTCTTTCTTTTTTTTTTTTTTTTTTTGAGACAGAGTCTCGCTCTGTCGCCCAGGCTAGAGTGCCTTGGGGCAATCTCTGCTCACTGCAAGCTCCGCCTCCCGGGATCACGCCATTCTTCTGCCTCAGCCTCCCGAGTAGCTGGGACTACAGGCGCCCGCCACCTCGCCCGGCTAGTTTTTTGTATTTTTAGTAGAGACGGGGTTTCACCATGTTAGCCAAGATGGTCTCGATCTCCTGACCTCGTGATCTGCCCGCCTCGGCCTCCCAAAGGGCTAGGATTACAGGCGTGGGCCACCGTGCCCAGTCCCTTTTCTTTATAAATTACCCAGCTTCAGGTATTCTGCTATAAGCAACAGAAAATGGACTAAGACAGGTACCTGGAATAGTCAAATACACCAAGACAGAAAGTAGAACAGTGATTCCTAGGATTTAGGGAAAGGGAAGAGTAGCGAGTTTTTTAATGTGTATAAAGTTCAGTACGGGATGATGGAAAAGTTCTATACATGCATAGTAGTGATGGTTGCACAATAATGTGAATGTACTTAAAGCCACTTACTTAATGGTTAAAATGGCAAATTTTATATTACATATATTTTACTAAATAAAAAAGTAAAATAAAAGAACCACAATGGGGTTCCACTTTATATGCACTAGAATTGCTATAATAAAAAATTTTAATGGAGGTGGGACAAAGGTTTTCAACACAATCTTCAAACTCACCAAAACTTGGCACATGTCTCTAACCTCACTCCTAGAATCCTTGAGACTTTCCTTCTGAGCTTGAGCGTCTTAATCTGTGTTTTGATGCGAGTCCTCAGACTTGTTTGGGGCTTTTCCGTTTCTTAAGTCCTCCCATCTTTTAAAGTCTAGTTCAAATCCCATTTGCTATATGAAACCCTCTCTGATCACTACCCTAATCTTTCTGTCCTTTGAGCTATCCTTGATCTTATTGTTTGTACCATTATTTATCCCTTTTCATAAATAGTTTAGTATTATTAAAAATATTTAAAATCATTTTTAAATATATTTTTACATTTTTTGTATTTTTTAAAATTTTTGTGGTTACATAGTAGTGTATGTATGTATTTATTGGATATATGAGGTGTTTTGATACAGGCATGCAATATGAAATAAGCACATCATAGAGAATGGAGCATCCATTCCCTCAAGCATTTATCTCTTGAGTTACAAATAGTCCAGTGACATTCCTTATTTTAAAATATACAATTAAGATATTATTGGCCGGGCATGATGGCTCACGCCTGTAATCTCAGCACTTCGGGAGGCCAAGGCAGGTGTATCACTTGAGGTCAGGAGTTCGAGACCAGCCTGGCCAATATGGTGAAACCCTGTTTCTACTAAAAATACAAAAATTAGCCAGATGTGGTGGTACACACCTGTAGTCCCAGCTACTTAGGAGGCTGAGGCAGGAGATTTGCTTGAACCTGGGAAGCGGAGGTTGCAGTGAGCTGAGATCGCACCACTGCACCCCAGCCTGAGGGACAGAGCAAGACTCTGTCTCAAAAAAAAAAAAAAAAAAAGTTATTATTGACTATAGTCACCCTATAGTCAATAGGGTGCTATTAAATAGTCAATGATGTGCTATTAAATAGTAGGTCTTATTCACTAAATAGTTCTTTATATATTCGCATATTGATACCCACATCAACATCTATTTATTGAGTGCTAGATTCTCTCAATTCAATCAATCTTAAAAATAAGAGACCTTAAAAATGAGAGACCAAATTTTTTATCACTTGGGTTCTCTTATAGTAGCTAATGTAGAACTCCGCACATATTGTTTGCTCAGTAATTGTTGATCCGTCATTTAATTCTATGTTGTTCTGGCCAACATAGCCTTGACAGGGCTTTTCTGAGGAAAATACCTAATCAAGTGCTTCTCAACCTGTTTTTCTTCATTGTGTTCCCCCGACCCAGGAACCTTTACAGACTTTTTTTTTTTTTTTCTGCTAATCATCTCACCTATGAAATTTTACTACTACAGATAGGCAGTCTGTCTCTACAGAATTTCTATACAGCCATACACAAAAAGAGCAAGAATTTTTCCCCAAGAACCAATCCCCTGCACACCTGAAGGGAATACTACCTCCACTGAGAATGCATGTCTTAACCCTTCATTACCTTCAGCAAGGCAGTGGGGAAGATGTTTGGGTGGTTTTCCAAACATTTCAGGCTCCTCAGAGCACAGCACCATAGAGGTCTTTCTGTTCCACCTCCGTGAGTACCTAAAAACCCTGCTTTTTCTTTGTTTCTTTGTTCGTTTGTTTGTTTCTTTCTTTCTTCCCCCACCCCTCCACCGTGATTATTGCTTTTGGTGGTAGCTTTCTGTATTCACAGGTGAGGACAGAAACTGAAAATATCCTCTCTAAAATGTACTAATTTCTCTACATCTCACATTTGTTGGGTTATTAACTTATTTGCTTATTTGGGGGGAGGGGAATAAGCATCTGTAATTGACACAGGAAATAATACAATGTTGCCGCTTCTCTTTAGGTGCATAGCACCACTGTACCACTTGAAAAGGACAGATCAGGGTATATAGAATGGAAGACTGCTACTAGGGCATATGGTGCTTTGTTTGAAGTAGAACAAGGTGCCCCTTCCTTCAGGTCCCACAGCCCTAGCAGTGTGCACAGCGAGCCTGCACCTGAGCTCCCTTGTCTGGGTAACTTTATGGAGGGAACTACCTGCACACCTTCAAACAGTAACACCTGACTAAACAAACATACAAATATGGGAATTCGTATATTTAAAACACATTTTAAATACTGTGAAACAGTTTATAAGATGTGCCCTGTGTAGTCACAAGCTCCTTTTCCCATCTCACTGACTGCAGGGTTTGGATTTGGGAAAGATAAGATCCTTCTCTTTGCTTGGATGTGGTGTGCAGCTGGCATAGGTCCCATGTGGGAGTGTGGGAGCATCCGGAGAGAGAGCATTTCTAAAGTGAACTCCAGACAAGTCATCATGTAGAACACATATCTCTTGGGACACTTTTCCCGGAATTTTCATTGCTTTCTTCCCTCTCTAATCTGGGTTTCCCATCTGAACATTTAAATTTTATGTCAGATTAAAACATTCCATCAAATTTTACTAATTGTTAATTTGAAAATACATTTTCATAAAACTAAATACAAAGGTTTTTTTCTTTTCCCAGTTACTAGTGATCAAAAAGTTCTTCTGTTTTATAAAGCTTACAATTGGAATTGCCACTAAATATCTGATTTTCTACTGTTGCCATATTTTGACTTCAAGTAGAAATAACTATCTATATTACCAATATTATTGCATCACATAAATTAGGAAAAATTTGTATGGCTTCTGATAGAATAAAGTAATACTAGCAGTTTCTTTTTGATTGCTCTGAAGTATCCTATAAATGACTTAACAAACTCCCCAAAGTATTACTAACATGATTCTCAATGGAAAATATGAAAATGTCTCTGTGGATAAGCATTGTAACTTAAAAATACAGACTTCACCGTATCAGTGGGTAAACATTTTAACTTCAATATGTATCAGGGTTTTCAGATTGCTTAAACTTTTTTAAGGCTTGTTGCTATAGAAGATTTGATGAAGATAACTGAATGATTATCAGCTTAATTTGAGATTTATAAATCTCTGATTTATATTTCATAAAAAACAGGAATATTCTTTTCTTTTCTCATCAGTATCTAAAGTTCTTAAAAAGTTATCCACATTATAGGGAGGCAAGACAGCCGAATAAGAACAGCAAGGTTCTGTAGCTCCCAGAGAGACAAACGCAGAAGGCGGGTGATTTCCGCATTTCCAACCGAGGTACCCGATTCATCTCACTGGGACTGGTTAGACAGTGGGTGCAGCACATGGAAGGCGAGCAGAGGCAAGGTGGGCCATCGCCTCACCTGGGAAGCACAAGTGGTAGGGGAACTCCATCCCTTAGCCAAGGGAAGCCATGAGGGACTGTGCCATGAAGGACAGTGCTATCCAGCCCAGATACTATGCTTTTCCCATGGTCTTCGCAACCCACAGACCAGGAGACTCCCTCAGGTGCCTACACCACCAGAGCCCTGGGTTTCAAGCACAAAGCTGGACGGTCATTTCA